TTTTTTTTTTTTTTTTTTTTTTTTTTTTTTTTTTTTTTTTTTTTTTTTTTTTTTTTTTTTTTTTTTTTTTTGTAGGGACTCATTGTTGGCTATCGAAGTGTCTTGAGAACCTTTATTTCTGCGTTTATTGCATCGTATGAAATTAATCTTCAGGTACACATTTCAATTTGATGCTTGCTTAGAATAGTTGATGCTTGGTGCAGATGGATTAGAGGGTTTTTTTTTTTTTTTTGAAATTATTTTCTAATTTTTAGAAGTAAAATTAAAATTTTATTTTTTAAAATGAAAATAAAAAACAGAATTTTTCATTGATGTACTAACGTATACAAATACAAAGGACATAAAAAACTTGTACTCAAAACTAAAATACAAAATTCTAAGCTTAACATGCTTGAGAAGGAACTAACCGCTTCTATAACTTCAAAAGCTACCCGTGCTTTACAGATAGCACATGCCTAATTTTACGGATTTTCTAAAGCTTTGCGTCATGTACTTCTCCAAGAAAAACTATTACTTTCATCTTCAAATACACTCCAAAAAGACTAGAAAAGCTTGAAGCAAAAAAGAACCAATATCTTCATAGAAAGAAGCAGCAACACTAAGAGGACGAATGAAGACCAACCACCTCAAACCAGATATTTCGAAGTCCCAAGACCTTTGAAGTCCTAATCAGCAACCAGGAAAAGATCCCAAATCTTCACAACTAAAGAATAGCTGCAACAAACTTAGAAACTTCGGAAAGGCAGAGAAATATAAGATTCCCAAGTCTTCAAATTAGAGTTAACCTTGTACTTCTTGTTTGACCTCATTAGTTGTTTGGTTTTACTTGGGCCAAGTTGTTAATTGGCTTCGTTAGTTTGTTAGTTAGTAATTAGTTTAATTATTAGGTGAACCATCCTCCAATCTTTTGTACATGCAGTTATGACTTTTGTTGAGTAGTCGTAGAGTCCAATCTCTTAGATGCTAGGATTCATTAATACCCTTCTCTTATTCAACTTTATCTGTATTGCAGGTGGAGGATGCTACCTTCCGGTCAATTTTGGATATTCTTTGCAATATATACCGTGGGGAGGTTTGGATGTATAATGATCATCAATTGTGATCATTCTGTACTTGTTGCGTCTTGTTCCTGCTACATCATTTGTTGATAATTTTCTGTTTGTATTTTGTTGCGCATGAAATTGCAGGAGTCACTTTGCATTCAGTTCTGGGACAAAGAGAGTTTCACTGATGGTCCTATTCGGTGTTTCCTTTGTGACCTAGAAGGTGAATTTCCTTTTAGGGTCGTAGAATTTGTTCGTTTTTTGTCATCTCTCTGTGAAGGAGCTTGGCCAGCAGAATGCGTGTAAGCAGTGTCTCTACTCTCTAGTTTTTGTTGGCCTTGAAATCGCAAGAAAAGCGCTCTTACCTTTGAAATCTGAAATTCTTAATCCTTGGGTGGAATATCATGTTGAATTACTACATTTTCAGCTGACTTGAAAAAATTGAAGTCAGGAAGCTTATGTTGAATAAGAAATTCTTAATTCTTTTTGTACGAAGAAAATACATAATTTTTTAGTTGGATCTCCGTGATTAGAACATTTTTTATCGAGAAATTTCCTTTAAGTTTTCTTATCAAGTAACTTCATTGGTTTGTAAGTTCTGAAGCAGGCTGTCCTAAGTCTCTCTTGAAGCCTATTGTTGGATCCTCCCTTCAATATACCTAATTTGGATACTTTTTTTATATCATTCGCAGTTTCTTTTATGACTTTCAGTTTTGTACTGTGGTTCTTAGCTTGGTTTGATCTGTTTTTTTAGTTCTTTTTGGTTGCTTCTTTTCACTCCCTTGTTGGAGTTTGTTTCTTTGTGCATTCATCTTTTTTCATCTCTTAATGAAAAGTCTTGTTTAGTATTAAAAAAATGAAAAAGAGAGAGGAAAAAAAAAAAAAAAAAAAATATTGCAAACCAGTTAGTACACTGCATCAAATAACTAATTGTCCAACATTTCGTGAATTTGTGTACATTTAGGTCCAGCTCACCGTTAGGGGTGTAAAATTATGTGATCATTTTATGTGGTTCTTTCAGTAGAAGCAGATACTTCTTTTTCTTATATTGCTGGTACCTTGTGCGACATTTGAAATCAAGGGAAACAGGAGTTTTAGAGGGGTGGCCGTCTTAGGGGAGGTTTGAAGTACGGTTAGGTTCAGGTGTTTGTGATCAAGTCCATAGGCTTTTGTACTTATCCTGTGTGTTATCCTTGACAAGTTCAGCTCTTTCTTTTAATGCTTTGGCTTTGGCTTTGGCCTTCATTTTTTTTTTCTTTTTTTTTTGGTTTGGGCTTTTTTTTTTAATTTATTTTTTATTGCAAGCTAGGACACCCCTTTCATTTCCTCTCCGAGTGTATAATTTATTTCTATTTGCTAGTGTTATCTTTACCTATGTTCCCACATTTTGTCACCTCACCTTTATTTATTTATTTATTCTATTTGTTCTTATTTTTCTTCCATCTGATATATTGATTAATATCAATAGGTTTAACTTCCTAGATAAATCTGTGGGAATATCATCCTTGTTTGAGATTAATAGCAGTACCTCGGTGGATCGCATCCCTGAGTTTGTTGAGACCCAAGAGCCATTACTTGTACCTGGAATGGAGGGACTGTTGATTCCCTGTAAGACACGTGGACAAGTTTTGAAAGTGGTTGGTGGAAATACTGTTCTTGTACGTTGGGAGGTAAGCAAATGAATTAATATTATTCTTCTACTTGTACCAGTTTATCTTGTTTGGTGTTTGTGGTCTTTATCGCTTGCAAGACATCATTTTCAACATTTTTTTTTGGACATGTAATTTTACGTCTTTTGCATTGCTACACAATACCTTGTCCATACAGTAACTATGGTATTTGCTTTATTTTCATTGTCACTACCCCTAATTCCATCCGTATTTAGTTCTTCATTGTGCATGTACCATTGATTATATGCTTTGAATGCGGATAGAATTGGTGAAAGCTGGACTCTTTAGTTTGGAATATCTATGTACGATATAACTTTGACAATTCAACACACAAGACACGTGTCTAACACTTATTGAACATATTAAATATATTTTGGGCACTTGTGAGCATTATTTTGAACAATTTTTGTACACTTGAGATAGTGTTAAAGTATTTTATTTATTTATTTATATTTTTTAAAAGCATATTAGCCTAGGAACATGGTTAATTTTACGTTACTCACCGGATATTAACCCATTTAGAAAAATGTTTATTTATTTATTTTTTTTCAACAGAGCTTAAGAGGTTGAAAAGTACAAGTAGAATCTAGGACTTTTATGATGCTCTCCAGTTGGTATGAAAATCAAAACAAGAGCAATCACAAAATTTATAGACATTTTGGCACATAGATATGGATATTTATTTGGTCTTTACCTTTTTTAAATACTTTGTTATGAGAAATTGAATAGTTAGAGAATTAATCTCTTTTTGTTTCTTCAAAAGTTTCATTTCTCGTTAAAAAGAGGAATTGAATTGTTAATGGTCTGTAATTAATTTCTCCAACTTGAAGCATTTCATCACTTCTTTTCACATTGATTTTTTTAATGTGAAATTTTTGAAGGTTAGTATATAATTTATTATAATTAAAAATGTAGTTTAGTTAGTGTGCCTTTACCATGTTTATATTTTACTTAAAAAAAAGATGATGCATCAAGTGGTGTGTTGTATCGGTGTCCTATTTTTCTGTCAGTGGTTCATTACGATTTAGTTTTTTGACTTTAACCATTTAATCTAACGTAACAGAAGTTTAGGATGAGATGATATATTTATCTTGAGTATATCTATTCAAGCATTAACTTAATATTGAAATCTTTCCGTTTAAATTAGTCAAATTCTTTTATCAATTTTATGTTGACCTTTTTTTTTTTGTAATATCGTTGTTTTGCAGTATAAACTATCAGGGATACTCATATTGCTCATGCGTTTGGCCCAAGGAATGTATTTGAACAACAATGAACAAGTTGTTATACTTGACTTGTTCAGTCGGATGGTTTCCTTTAACACGGTATTTTGTGCTTCTCTTTTTATGTTGTTTTGTTATTTTAGTCTGCCTTTTGAACTCTCTATTACTATCAATGTGGTTTTAAAGTTTCATTATTTTAAAACTTCTCTATGAACTGTTGGCACCCGTGCTACATTTTGGATTTGTAGAGCAAGGATCATAAGGGCATGTCGGGAAAAGAATTTTAACATGAGAGAAGCAAGTCACCCATCATTTTGGCCTTGCTTTGGTTTATAAAGCTTTCTTACTGTCACAATTATGACTTTTCTTTTCTTACTTACCATTGGAATTTTTTTTTGTATAGGCTGTCTGTTCTGCTTTAATGGATGCTACACAGTTTTTCAATCCTCAAGTAGCAGACTCAGCTCGTCCGATGGAAAAGAATATGTGGTGATTTAAAATCCCTTTCATTCGATTTAAAAGTTCCGTTACTTGGAATACTTATTTTTCATTCATCCATATAAATTAGTATTTCTCACCAGGGTGGTTGAGGTTATTTGCGTCTTGGTCAGAAATTTATCTCCTAATCCAAGTAATGCTGCAGCAATGTCCATGGGCCTGAATATTTTGTCAAAGATGTTGAAATGGTAATCTTATAATTCTTTAAATTCTTTTCCACTTCGCAATGTTCTTTTTATGAATTCCTTTTATTTATTTATATTTTTTTCATCTTGGTCCTAGTTTTCCTGCTACAGTCACTCCAGTGGCACTCAAGGCAAATATTTTCAATGTTTCTGGTCGTGATGCACTGAGGTGGAGCATTCCTTCATCTTCATTTTCTATTTTGTTTATTTTTGCTTGAAAATATTTATTATTCTGTTGCTAACTTGCTCGTTTTCATCAACTTAATACTGCATTAATTCATATGGTTAGTTCTGTAAATCCTAATAATTGGATTCCAACAGCAGCACAAAATTTTCTTAGTCGATTACTATAGGTAAAATTATGAAACAGTTGGTTTCAATTTTGCCTCACAAACTTAATAATTTTACTCTAAACATTTTAAATTGTTTCATGGAAATCCTTTGTTAGCAAGCTCCATTAAAAATTTCGAACAGAATAAAAGACTGAGGGTAAAATTAAAATTTTCAAAATATTATATGAAAAATTGAAACCGACTACTAGGTTATGAACAATATTGTTCCTGGGACATCCAAGACTGCCATCACTTTTGTATGGGTTGAAATTTTGGTATTTTAAGGTTTGATGTCCCATCCATAGTCTATGGATCCTTTTTATGAGGAAGATTCTTTTCTTCTTTCTTTATTCTTAAACAAATGTGTGGTTGTTATACATGTATATCTACTCATATGCATCGTTAATTAACTTCACTGACTTTATTGAGTTCACAAATGATGATTTATTTCTTTCGTTCTTTATATTTTTTCAGTGAATCATGGCTTCAATTGGGAAAGCTCGCAAAGATGTTGCTTATTGACTCTGAGTATAATGATATTGACTCCCCACTGTCTATATCATGTATGTTTTGCTGTAGCTTTTAATAGTTTGTGGTTGATATGGTTTATTTCGTTTTGGCCTCCTCACTTTCTTGACTTTTTATAGAACTGGGTGCTGTAGTATTTTATTAATCTTTCTAGGATTCTTTTTCATGGGTTACTCTGTGAAATTTCAAGTGAGACAGTGAAACTCAAACTAGTTCTTGTACTTGGCAACCTGTTCTTGTTGATGTCCTTACTTCAGTGCACGATGCATACTAGCATGGTCTCATTCTGGTGAACTGTTGAACTTTTCAGTATTGGACTTTACCATGCAGCTAGTGGAGACTGGATTAGAAAATGATGCTATCCTAGCTCTTATTGCTTTCTGCCTCCAATATATTCTAGTAAATCATGAGTACTGGAAGTACAAAGTCAAGCATACTCGTTGGATTGTAACTTTGAAGGTATGTTCCCTTTTGTAATTCATATTTTCTTGGCCTAAGTTGTTTTGTTTCTCTGTAAAAGTCTCTGACAATAAAATCTTACAATTCTACCTTCAGTTGTGCGAACCAATTTTATTAATTGTTCTAGAAAATTTTTAAGTTTGGACATACTTTTTTGTAATCGTCTTTCAAATTGAATAATATATTTTAAATCAATTGCTATAAGTATCTTTTGTGCCTGACATGATCTTTCCAAAACTATTTTTCTCTAATATTGCACTGATTTAAAATTTAGGACACTTTTATTCTTTTATCAGGAAACTAGCCTTATCTTTTAATGTCAAGGATCTACGTTAGCTTGTAGTTGGGAGGGTCTTTCTTTTTTTTTCGTTTTATTAAGTTTATTTTAGGAAGTTGGCTGGTTGGAACTTTTTAAATTTGAATAGTTTACGTTTCATGTAAAAACAAAGAGGAGTGTCTTGGTAAATGCTTGGCTCAAATATTTGTTCAATTTCTGTGTCATTATCCATTCTGTTGCAGGTGCTTGAAGTGATGAGGAGATGCATTCTTTTAAGCTCAGGTACCGGAAAACTGGGCCCAGTTGTCCAGAATATGCTGCTTTCTGATTCTTCCATTCATAACACTCTTTTTCGAGTGGTTTGTACGACTAGACAAGCTCTTGAGGTCTGTCTAACGAAAGTAGTTTTTGCCTATTTTAAGCTTATTTGTTTTTTTATTGCTGACATGGGGGATTATATTTATCAGAAACTATATGTTAGCCGTCTTTCTGATCCAAGGGAGATTGAGGGGTTAGAACATAGCATCTGTTCTGTGCTGGAAATTCTTTTCATCATGCTCTCTTCATTTTCAAAGGTATTTCATGATTGTATCACTTTTTTGTTTTTTAAGTGCGATTGAATCTTAGTTACATTATACAAGCTTCGGATTGATATAATGGTTCCATCTTCTTCTTAGTCTTTATGCATTTCCAATCGAATATATTTAGGATTCTATTATTGTTTTTCATTATATTTTTAATATCTTGATAGATAAATTAATATCATGAATTTATTGTGCTTGATGAATTAGAAATTGGTGAGATTAGCTGTATGACTTTAATATATCCATTTCAGGATTTGTCCGCAGCACCTACCGTCTTTCATCAAGCGTTGACGTCTTTGAAAACTAAACCAATGCCTATAGCAGCAGCCGCCATTTCTTTGTTATCATATTTTCGAAATGTGGTATGAATATATTTACTTTTTGAAATTCCGTTTGAAAAATTATTTTCCGATAAATAACTGTCGTTCCAATAATTCATAAAATATCTTGAAATGAGTGAACTGAACTGCTCTGTAGTTTTTCTTTCCTTTGTTTTCTCTTCAGAAGTATATTAATAAACTTAGGATCTCATATTCACCAATCAACCTAAAGGAGTTTGAACTTAAGATCTCCTATTCACCAATCAACCTAAAAACCTAAAAACTTAAAGCTGATGAGTTATAATAAATTTAAAATTAAACTTTTAAAAGTTTAGGGGCATAGTTGAAATCTATCCCAAAGTTTAAAGATATTTGGTATAATTGAACCAAAAATTTATAACAAATACCTTAAATATGCATTTCTTTGTACTATTTCATAACCTCTTGTGCTTTGCAATTCTGTTTTGTTTTCTACAAAAATAGTCCATTAATCTGCTTATAGTCTACATTTTCCATTTATCCCCCTATTTGCAGCTTTTGCTTTCATTAATGAAATAATGTATGGATATGACTGATTTTTTATTTATTTATTTCTCTTTCATTTATTTTTATGATTTTTATTTTCTGTACCAAAGATTCATGAGTTGTGACATTTATGCAGAGAGTACAAGTCGGTGCGGCAAGGGTACTATCTATGTTATTGTTAATCACAGACGATTTGCAACCACATTTGTCTAGTGCATGCTTTAGTCTCGACGATGAGCAGGTGTAATACTCTTTCTTGAGATATTTCCACATTGATGATTTCTTTTTCATTGGACTAATTATTTTCGTTTGTGATGTTTATTTATTCTCATGATTTTAGATAACTGATTTGAGGCATTCAATTGGGTGCATACTTCTTAAGAAATCTGTGTGGGACGAAGACCTCTTTGTTGCCATAATTAACATGTTGACTTCAGCAGCACTTTATCAGGTTGGTTCTCAAATCTACTTATTTTGTGGTTATTGAAAAGGAGGACGTACATGAATATAATCTTGGGCAAATGTTTGCATCCTTATGTGTGTTATGAGTACCGGTTGATCAATAATTCACCTTATTTTTCTAGTTACGATCTATTTTTAAACTTTTGTACAAGAGTGCGAGAGTGGAACTACGAAGCTGTGTTTGGTCTTGTATGTCTCCTCTTGATTTCTTTTGGATAAAAAATTGTATAAAATGTCAAGGATTGCAAGGTTTTTTCTATTTTTCCCTGTAAATTTCCATGATTGAAAGAGTATAATTTAGAATACTCCTATTATTTATATATACCGCTGAACTTTGTCATTTGGTTCAAATACTCCTATTAGTTCAAAAGTTTTAATATTATTCTGGACTCTTCATAAATGTTTCAAATCATAAATGTTTCAAATTTACCATGGTGATAGAAAACAGGTAAAATTTTTGAGAAAAAGTCATTGTGTCTAAATGTCGTTCTTTTGGACTTAATCCAAACAAGTATCCTATCACCACTAAGTTGTTTTAGGTTACCAGCACACTGACTTGAGGGTAGTTTTGAAACGTTAACGAAAGGTCAAAGGTAATGTTGCAATTTTAGAAAGTTCGAGGGTAATATTAGAATTTTAGAAATAAATGTCATTATTCTGACTTGGTATTTGTTTTCTTCATTCTTCCTCTCTGCAGCCTTCTTTTCTTGTTGCTTTATTAGCTAGCAAGGAGAATTTGAATGTTCAGCTAAATTCCAGTGGTGGTGTGAATCATCAAAGTAAAGAATCTTTGCCGGCTTCATCAGGGTTGGAGAAATCAAGTTTGATTGATGCGCTTGTACAATATCTAAAGGAGGCCAACAATCATGCCAAAAGGTTCATTGCCTAAAAGAATCCTTCCCGATTATTGACTGATTAATCCATTTATTTGTACAATTTTATTGAGGTTCTATTTTCTTTTCAACGGGCGCTAGATTGCTTGTGTTATTTCATTTCTTGTCTTAACATTAGATATGTTTGCTATTTTTTATCTACAGCAACCTCCGGATACAGCTGAATATACTTAACTTTATGAAGGCACTTTGGCAGACAGCTGGTCCATTTATAATGATTTTGGATAGGATGAAAACCTCAGACAAGGTTTTGGAACAATTGACAGACAGTGTTTCACGCTTTCTTTCTGGAGAAACTTGTGCCCCAAAAAATATTACTGAGATGCAGGCTCTAAACTCTGCTTACAAATATCTCTCTCTCTCGTCCACGATGGAAATAATGTCGTATGACATATTTCTGCAAAAAAAGTTGCTACATGGTGAGTCAATTGCGAAACAACAGGCTGGATCAAAGGACAAAGCTGCGGTTGTTGCGAGCAATGAAAATCCAAAATCATCGGCGAGTCTCTCTGATGTTAAGAATATGTTATCAACTGCCTGTGATGGCTCCCTTTTAGGCAAGCTGACCAGGCTGCTTGCTTCCTGTCAATTCGATAATGAAACATATTACCGTGCGAAGGTGGTTTTCATTCAGTTTATTTTTTCTTTCTTTCATCTCTCAGCTTTTTTAAAAAAAAAAACACTGTAATCTCTATCCTTCTGTACTCCTAAGTTTTGATTTCTGCTTTTTTTTTTTTTTTTTTTTTTTTTTT